TGTCTCTCCTATTCTCCCGAGTTGCAGAGTATAAACGCACCCTAACTGCTGGAAAGCGACCATTTCTTGAACAACTCTGTTCCTCCAATGTGTCAGCTTCTTTTTTCGCAATGTCCTTGACTCTAAAATGTTTTTCTTGCTCCGGAAGGAAATGCGCCCATGTTTCTCAAATTGTTGATAGGGGTATTCACGTATGTCTGTTTTTCAATGTTAATCCATAACTGGAGGTTTTTGTCGTCAGCTGGCCTAGATTTGATTGAAGCTACTATTTTTGGAATGAATTCACAATGACGTTTCAGTTTTTTCCTTTTTTACGACTGTGAAAACCTGCCACGATTTGCCTCTGCTTTGCTTTCTTTTGTCATTGCGGCTTTGGCCGGCACTTCCTCTGGAGAGAGCCGCTAAGGCTACCTCCTTTGTTCATTTCTTTTTCGTTTGCTCACTTGGGTCGGTAAAGAACTCTGGCTTTTGTTAGGGAAATCTCACTTACTTGCCCATTCGCTTTGTTTCGGTGTGAAATTTGCAAGCTGAAAGAGAACTGGTTAGAAATTTAGTGTCGGTCATATGGTTTGGAAAACTTTTTTCCCCACTTTTCTCTCAAGATTATGGGATCAAGGATCAAGGAGTCGCCACCACTCTTTGATGATTCAGTAAATCACCTCCATAACTTCAATCACCTAGCGATTATATTTTCGTAATTGAACGGCACGCCGCCCAGGAATGAGATAGTGAAGCTACGGTTAGGACCACACATGCACTTTGTTTTTTATCACCATTGTGCGGAGTAGAGGGCAGGGGTCAGACCACAGACAGGACAAGAACCCGTACCTTCCGCTAACCGTCGGTCTCATTCTGAAAACAACTTCGAGTTGTGTTGGGGGGAAAACACTCTTATTGCTCACTTGGGTCGGTAAAGAACTCTGGCTTTTGTTAGGGAAATCTCACTTACTTGCCCATTCGTTTGTTTCGGTGTGAAATTTGCAAGCTGAAAGAGAACTGGTTAGAAATTTAGTGTCGGTCATATGGTTTGGAAAACTTTTTTTTCCACTTTTCTCTCAAGATTATGGGATCAAGGATCAAGGAGTCGCCACCACTCTTTTGAAGTGGAAAGTCGATCGCTTGTTTTTGTTCAAATCGAAAATCGTCTGGCTCCAGACTTGTGGTAGTTTTAAAGGGGATTCTACCGCTTGAAGAATTGCTCGAAGCCAGAAATCACCGATTCCATCTCATTTTTTTCCTTTGAGAGAAAGAGAGGATTTTTCGGAGAATAATCATTTTTGAAATGAAACAAGTGACGTATACTGCCAAAGGGTTGTTGTTACCCGTGCTCATTAAAAAAAATCAGTTCCTCCATCTCTGATTCTCTAAAGGTCTTTCCTCGAATACATAAGTGCTGCTTGAGCACATGAAGTCGAGAAAATAGCATTTCATGGACTGCGAGTCTGATTGAGTGGCACCATTCGGGAATTTCCGGGTGGGTGGAGCCAGGGAGTGACGACATTGAGGCGAGTTTCTTCCCTTTTTTCTGATCGCCATAGAAGGCAGAAGGAGGTGGGACACACCGGGTGAGGCTGATCGTTTCACGACCTGGCCAGCAGTTCTAAATGGAGTCTTTTGCAGGCCAAAACATGTGCTTTGTTCAGCGAAAAATAAGACGAGAATGAGAAATATTAAATGTTATCTATGAGATCTTCTGTACTCCTGTGTTGCTAAGTAGTTGACGGAGGGGACCACACCGTAAGGCGATATTCCCTCTATCCAAGGATTGTGCTAGGAGCACAGACAACCAGATTCTTCAAGGGATAGTTTTGTGGAGAAGACATATTGTATTCTCCTCTAAGAGTGCGTCCATACTTTGTGCCCGCATGTGAGCGACAGGAAAGTATAGCTATTCGTGAAAAGTTCAAAATTAGCCGCGAAGTGCTTAAAATGCTAGATCGATATCTATACTTTCCCACTCGCTCAAAACAAAGGCGGTGGCGGAAAGCGATGGTTCACGCTTGATCGATACCTATACTTACCTTGTCACTCAAAACGCCGTCGTACGCTCGAAACGCCGTCGCGAAGTATGAACGTCTAAGCCTTGGTAAGAGGAAGGGATGCAGGCCTTTTCCATCAATCCCAGAACTTCGCTAGCGACAAAATTTCTTCGCATTGATGAAACATTCCTGTTTCCTCTTAAAATCAACTACCTGTGTAATTTTTCAGTGCTCCTTTTCCTGCGATGGTTCTAGGAGGTGAACCACGTGTGCCCATTCATCTGTTACTGAGTCGAGCGCTATTCACACAGGGTGTTAGCGAAATTCAAGCCATGATGGGTGAGCGCTTGGAATAGTTAGCTTTTCGATTTCTGTCGGAACATAATTCGAAAACAACTTTTTTGCCCCCGAATTATAACAATACGTGGCTATTATTCGGGGATTATTTATTTTCAGATGACTTGAATATTCACAAATCGATCGCGACAAATGAACAAGCTGAACGTTTACGTAAAATGGATGCGGAAGTGTCAGCCTCTGAGGATTTATCCAATTTGAACTTGGTGACACGATCTGACGCCGAGCGGATATGTGGCATTGTTCGAATCGAAAGTACACCTTCTACAAACGAGGAAACTATCGTGTATGTACTTTTTGTTGACAGTCTTCTTCCGAATTTAATACCAGCAATCATTTATCCCGACACGTGACGTGAAAACGTCGTTTTTTTAAGAGCCATTGAGGCGTACTATGGTATTGTTTGCTCGCGATAAAATGACCAGTGAAAAAATAGGGAGCAAAGTAGACGTTTTTTCTGGTTGCCACGTTCCCCTGCTTTTTCAAGAAACAGTCTTGTTCAGTTCTGACTCATTTTACTGGAAGAATTTCTGAACAATCCACTTCTCCTGGACATTGATGGGTTCTAGAAGTGAAAACGACTATAACGGCAAGCCCCGCCTTTAAAAATATCGCGCGGCTCGAATACTAATGACGAGATGGTAAATAACACAAAAGTGAGAAAAAAGACTCAAAACCCGCCTGAACTGCCCAGTCTAGTACCCCATAGTGAACTGCGCTTTACATGCGTAAGTGAAGAAAGGGTGTTATCGGGCGAGTCCTCACTATTGATGCCAGCTCTTTTCCCTTGTCACCTCACTCTCACCATTTGAGATGGAAAGTGTAGCGAAACAACCGCACCATCAGGTAGTAGTTAGAAATAAAGGTTGGCTGTCGCCGTGACTAGTTGGCGGGGCCTGGTTCCGTCGCCGGGTGGTGCTTTCTCCACGTACTTTGACTGCGAAGGGATTTCATCCTTTTCCTCACAAGTAGGACCATTATGTCCAGTTGAGGGGCCTAGACATCAAGTGAATGCAAGGCGTGTATTTAAGGGGTGGAGGGAGGTGGCCTAGTGGCAAGTGTCGTCACCCTTGACATTCAATCCCGAATCGGCTGCCTGGCCAGCCAGGTTTTCCATCCCTTCTAGACAAGATATCTGTTATCAGACTTCGGGAGTATACAACAGTGACTTGTACATCATCTGCCCCTCCCCCATTAGTTACTGTGTAGGCAAAATCGCGTTCAGAAAGACACTACATTTCGAATGGAAGCGGAATACATGCAGCATCCTAAAAAGGATTGATTGACTGTGAAAACTGTACTTCATCCTTTTGCCCCCTAAGCATGGATGACCGTGCTCGAACGGCATTCGGCTTTTGAAATATCTATGTTTCAATTTCTTGAAATTTCTTAGAAGTTGTTCAAGGGGGTGGTATAAGGGAGCATACCGTTTCTGCTTCCCGACATTTCTAGTTCAGTTCCGTTTCCTCGAATTTTGTTTTTGTATACTTTTTCCCGTTTACTTCATGCGTGTTCGTATCGATTGGGCCACGTGTTCCCACAGGCGCCTTCATTCACTATTTTCAGTTATACGAGCATTCAGGGAAAAGGAAAGGGATTATTCTTATTGAGTGAATGAGCCTACTACCGCTGCTGGGATTCACTTGGCGCTTTTTCATCGCAGAGCATGGGAGCAGTTTCATCGCCCGGCACATTTGGTCAGAGTTGGCGGAGATCTCATGTCTTGATACTACCTTCGTTCCTTGAACATGTCTTGCGAGGGCGGGTTCAAAGAACGAGCATGGCAGCAAGGCCCAAAATGGCTCCACCCATTTTTACCTCCCATCCTGGGTGCTGCTTTGAACTTTCGGGCAAATTAGGGACCGTAAAGCGATCACCTTTTTCGCACGAAGAGATTATTCTCACCTCGGAACTCACTCGCTGCAGACTTACGCGAAGATCCTCATTTTCACTGACTCTTCATCCTATTGTACCAAAACGCCTCACCACGATGGAGCGGGGGAATAGCACATGTAAAACGGGAAAAGCCGCGAGAAAATACGACCCACTCCCTCCCAACAACGAGGAGGTACGACCCTTTACTCAAAATAAATTTTTATCGGCCCAAATACGACCCACCTGTTGGGAATTCCCCAGCAGTGATGTGCCCTGCAAGTGACAATCACATTCGGCGCTCTGGCGGGCGTCGCGTGCGATGTCGCGCCCTGGACGGCGGTGTTTCTGAGTCATAGGCGGTCACAGTAGGCAAAGATTAACCAAAAATGACTATAAATGTCTACGTGTACATGAAATTAGCTGGTTCAACAGTCTAATGGAAGTTGCGAAACGCCGTGCGCGACGGAGTGGCAAACTACTCGTCTTGACCGTCTCCCCTGTTCCAATCAGGTGGGGCCTTTCGAGGACTTTTGGGGCAAAATAAGATTTACCACAGGTTTCTCGCAAAAAGGGCTGACTTGCCCACCTCGGAAGTCACTCCCTGGAGACTTAGGCAAAAATCCTCATCTTTTCTGGCCTCTAATCGCTGTTGTACCAAAATGCCCCCGCCATGATGGATAGCGCCTTCCCATGTGGATGATTGATTAATTTGTAGCAAAATTCATCAATGAATTTCAAATTTAATGCGTTTTCAGGGATGAGTCCGATCGACTTGCTGTACAACACGCAATGTTCGGAACTGTGAAAGGATGGGCTTATCCATCACGAAAAGGCGGACGAAGTGTGAGATGTCAAGAGTGTGAATGTCTCTTCACCCCGCAAGACTTCGTTGCCCATTCCCACAGCGACAAAAACGAGTCCCAGAGGTGCACACATTTTCGTATCGATTTTTCCCGTTTGATGTTGCCTTTATTGCAGTCAGCTGTGTTCGCCGAGCTCTCGCCCTCTCATTTCGTTCGCTGTCGCTCGCTTTTCTCTCCTGAATTTTCATACAATTAATTTATTTGGCTTTCTGTTAGATATATAAAGCATCTGTCTTGAATTTCAGAACAGTGCATTGGGGATTCGATCCTTCAAATTGGCGCCTCATGTTGGAACTGGCCAAACCCTCCTCTGACAACAGCGTTAGCAAAGAACGATGGAAAGAATTTATTGATGAACCTACTATTCAGTCATGTGGTGCCTCTGAAAATTTCGAAGAATATCCTGTCAACAAGGCAAAGCGAACGTTCACTGATCAATCATTGGTAAGTTCTTTGAAGTATTTTCGTTTTGATGAAAGTACAGTGATGTTGGGACGGAAAAAATAGAACCATTGTGTTATTGCGATTGCCACAATTTGCAGGAGGTCCCAACCAAAGTCGCTCGAAATGATGACGTCACAGAAACAGATAAAATTGAAAAGCCACTACCTCTCTTCTCGGACCCATCGAATTTGTCCAAGTTGTATCTACGTGACAATATGAATAGACTTTTCGGTACCAAACCGGTTGATCCCCTCGGACTTCTTGGCGATATAATGCAGAAAGAAGCTGCTTTCAAAGTTAAGGTCAGTTTTTTTCAATTTTACGTTAATCTTCTGTTCTCTAGGACTGCTTCTTTGCGTTCGCGTTTTCAGCGTCCCGAGCGTACGGCAACTTTTCGACCGACGAGGAACCTATAGATATCGATCTAGCGTTTAGAGCGACTGCTTGCGAAAAGTTAAGAACTACCCGGGAAACTCTTAAAAGCTAAATCCATACCTAAATTTCCCTAGTCGCGCAAAACGATGGCATGCGCTGGCGCAACGCCTGAAACGCTGACGCGAAGTATGAACGCACTCTTAAGTTCTGGGTTCTTTGGCTAGGGTATGTATCGCGTTCTTTGGCTGGGAGTTGGGAGTTTCTTTCATGAAGGTGGAATTATGATATAGGTATTGCATGCATTCTAAAGGCAACTGAGCACTCTTGCGAGGGTATGCTGGGCTAGTTTTGGTTTAATTTCCTTATCATACGTCATTGTGGCAGTCGAATGGCGAGGATGGCCGTTCAGTTCACCGTTTAATAACCGCTAGATCGATTTGCCAGTGTATGCCAGCGTTGTCACTAAGTGCACTTTTTGTGAAGGTCCAGGAGTGTTTTGCACCGGAGATTTATGTGTCACTGAATTCATCCTGTGCCTTCCACAACTCCAGAGGAGTACAGCCAATACAGCCAAGTTTTGCGAGCAAAACATCTGCATCAATCTTGATAGTGGGAGAATCCATGGAAAAAAATCAGATACGTGCCGACTGCTTGCGTGACAATTAGAAAACTGCTCCAATCGAGAACCTGACGCACACTTTGAATTTCCCGCGCCCATCGCCGCGTGGCGCTCAAATTGAGAACTTCCCGCGCTCATCGCCAGACGGTGCGTCGCGCGCGACGGCGCGGCAAATTACGGTTCTCTTGCCCGTCTCCTTTTAACACGTCGATGGGAAGTAGCGAAAGTGTGAAATGCCTCCAGTCGCAGAATTGCACCTGTTCAATGGATTGTCAGATTCTTTGAAACTATGAAACAAACTATATATGACCTAGATCACCATGACCTGATTGTCTTGACGCTAAAGTGCTTTGTCGAGTCGAGTAGCATGGGGAGATCAGCTGAGTGCGTGGTTGAGCGAGACTCTGATGTTCTGCACTAATTCCGGAAGTAATGTTTTTCATAGGAATGAACCATCCGCGCGAAACTGGCAAATACATCAACTGTTGTTTTTCAAATAGTCCGATGTAATTATTGCACTTTCTGTAAAAAATCGCAAACACCAAGCGTTGTTTTTTTGACTGTTCGTCCGAAATGATGATACGTAAGAGTGCGTTCATGCTTTGCATCAGCGTTTGAGCGTACGGCAGTATTTTGCATAGCCGACAGGGTTTTGAGCGTTGTCGCTGACGAGGGAACTATAGGTATCGATTTAGTGCTCCAAGCTTACGGCAGTGTTTTCAGGAATAGAAAAGGAAAGGTGTCGATTTAGTGTTTTGACATACGCTGAAAACGCTGACACAAAGTGTGAACACATTCTGAGGATAGGGTGGTGCTATCGAAAGAGCTTTTGTGTATCAGCAAATTATATGAAAATCTTTTAAAAATTGCGGTTAAGTCGTTGGCGGCGATCAAAGAGCAACCTTCTGGAATCGACCTCTTGTTACCTCTCAGCCAACAAACCAATTCTGTTGTTCCACATCCCGATACCTTCAAGACAGCGGGCGAATCAGCGAAGGAGCTACGGTCGAATTGTGATCAATTAGGTGAGCTTTCTGTAGCGAATATTGGATTATTAAATTTTTCCATAGCATTAACAGGTATGTTTTCCGTTTAGAAGCCCTGGAATCTCTCCTGAGTCAAACGTCGGGCATTAGTCCCACCATAACGAATACTCTACGTGAGATTCGAACGTCACTCACGAAGGTAAGGTTTAACCACTCTTTTTCGTTATTAGAGAAATTGTCCGCCATTATATGACAGACAGAGTCACTTTCGATGATCCACAGTTGCACACAGCACAAAGTGTGCCACTTGAAAGTGTGCGACGTGGGCATCGGGTTTTCTGTGAATGAGAGCCCGATTGCGCTTTTTCAGTCTGGGAGGAGGGAGGGGAGAGCGAATTAAAAAAGACGATTTATTCATGGAAGGAGTAATGCGGTAAATGGCTACCCTCGTACAATATACACGGACCCCTCGCTTCAAATCATGTATCTTCTGGGTCTGTAGAACAGACGTACTTGGAACGTTCCGTCCTGACTTGGACATCGCACGGCTGCTTCAAGCTGACACTAATACTGTGGGTATTCCTGGGGCGATAACGGATGGCATCAGCTTGTTGTGATCGTGAGAGTCGCTAGTGAACATCTCAAGTACGTTGTGACGGAGGTTATGCACTTTGTCACACTGTGCGAAGAAAAATTGAATGATGCACTCCATGAGCGAAGCGTTCCTACATTGCGTAAACACATCCACTGCTTATCCCTTGCGCTTGTAGTCCGAATCGAGGGGGTGTGTTAATGTGACGTAAATATTTTCCGGCTCGTATCATTCCGTTAGAAAGCAAGGTGGTGCCGCTCCTAAATCCACGTCACATTGACACGCCCTGTTGATTCGGTTGTTAAAGGATAATCCTGTGATTGCGTGCTGACGTTCAGTTGAAAAATCTAGTCTTTGAGTGACCCTCCAGGGAAAAAATTGGATAGCCCCCAGTTGCGAGCCTGAACCTCTCTGGACATGCTGGTTTTAGGCCAGCAAAGCGACGTCGACCTGGCCACCCCTGGCTCAGTTTCACAACGTCACTCAGTGCTTGTGCCATCTAAAGATGAAAAAAAAAACACGGTGTGTAAATAGATTTCGTGTTAGGAAATAGCCAGTGAGTTTCGGTGGGCGGAAAAACTAGAAGAGGCGTCAGAACAGCCATTTATGAGAGCCGCAGCGCCTTCTCTAGTTAAAGGCAGTTGGCACCTTCCTACTTAGTCCTAAAATGCTAGTAGGGCGCTGTATAGTGGGGAAATGGCGAAAGAACGGAGTGAAACGGTCAAAATCCTGCGAAGAAGCCTCCGTTCTCAGTGACTTGTAAATCGATTTCGGACGAGTTTCCCGTAGGCATCTTACCAATCACCGCTACCGAAGATACGGCTGCATATGTGTACCCATGTATGCATGCAGCATCACGGCCGCTTCATACCAATCCCTTCGCTTCATAATTTGCTTAGCAAATGAATGAATACGAGCGTCAGGAACGGTCGTCCATTTGTGGGCGGGCGGGCGTGGCGGGCGTTTGGGACGTAAAGTTGTGGCTTGATAGGGCCCTTATAAGGGCACCTTCCTCGGGGAAACCGCTATGCAGCGCCTGCCCAGGGTCGCGGAATTCTATCCTGCCAGGAGTATTGATCCTAGTCGCCTTGGGGATTTATCGTGCCAACTGCCTTTAATGTGAAAGTTGGACGGTCACAGACTGCGAGCTAGACTATTTGAGCAAGGGAGAACGCCTGCGAATTGGTTGAACGCGGGGACAGTTTTCGAGGTGAAGCAGTGAATTTTTCAACGTTTCAAGCAAACGTGGACATGAAAGGTTTTACTTGCAACGTACGCGGCAATCAACTCCTGCGTCGAGCGTCTTCCCAAAGCACCATGAGTTTAGATAGTACTCTCTTCGATTTCTTCATATATACTTTCATTCTTCTTCATATATACTTTCATTCTCCGCCTTACTAATACTGTATAGCTATGATTTAAGGGCACTATGGTCGAGTACGAGCGATTGCGGCATGCATACGAGTTCCTGTTCACCTTGTACCGGCAAATGTGTGATCCAATTGGCTGTATGACCGACCCCGTAATGCAGCCGTGTCTTGCAAAATTACAAGCTGATCAAGCACCTCTGGGTACGATGACCGATTCGAGCGATTCTTTACGGGTACAAACTCTTGCCGATTTAGCGCAGGTTAGTGTTATTCAAAATACTAGCGATGAGAGTAATGACAAGATAATCGTTATGCGCCGCGTTGGGGGCGTGGCGAGCGACGCCGCGCGCGGCAGGCGAGTTGTCCTGCATGCCTGTTTGAAGCTGAGTGTTGAAGGGGCCGAACAGTCTGATATCGGCCGTCGTGGAGTTGCTTCCGCTCGAACTCATGTGAGTTTCGCTGCTCCAATCGACAAACTGATGCACATCAAAAACTTGCGCGCATCATCGCACGAGACGCCGCGCACAAGCGACGAATTGCGATTGTCTTGTCCTCCGACGATATGCAACCTTGTTCGCTGCGGATGTGCGGGCGTGTCAAGGGGGTCTGGGTTTGGCGCGGCGGCCAGTACGTTTTCCACCAATCGCTGTTGTTTTTCCCTTTTCATCAGCTGGAGGAGAACCAGCTAAAGCCGTGCCAAACCCAGTCCCCCCCCTGACACGCCCTAGCATCCGCAGCGAACAGGACTATACGCGTCAATTAATTTTGTCTATGTTTCCAGGAACAAGCTAAATTAGGCGTCGTTAAATCAGTTCAGCAGCGTTCCAAAGGCGATGATGCCGTTGCAACCTTTCCCTACCTTGTCGGCACCTGCTGATCCACAACTATTACAACACTTGTTAACTCAACAATTAATGCAACTAATGGCTACACCGCAATTAACGCAATGAGTGTTCATCATCTTTGTTTCGGGTCGTTTCTCTCTCTCTCTCTCCCACAGTGATGTGTACATGGCCACGACCACGT